AATCATATTCAAATTTATTAAAATAATTTCAAAATTTAAGACACAACCTTACGTGATCTGTATATACGGAAATTTTCTTTAGAAACTAATTGATAGTTTATAGAGAAGAGTTTCTGTTAATTGCTTTCTGTGTGAAGTAGAAGTAATCGAAGCATGACTGTGAAAGGAACTGTTAAATAACCACTCCGTTGGCTTTAGTTTTGTGTTTTTGAACTTTACTTCAAAAACAAGCAAATTGCGAAATTATTGTTCCAAATAAAATAAAAAAATAAAACCGTTTAGTGTCCCGAATAATTAAAAAACAAACGATACTTGCAAAAGGATGTTAGAAAATTCGTCACAAACTAACAGCGCTATACCTACAACTTATGATTAGTATACTTATTTATTCAATTATCTAAAATTCTTATAATCCTGTTAAACGTTGGTAATTATTTTAAAAAGAAATAATAGTCAGTGTTTATACATAACTATGTACTCCTTTCACTTGTTTTAATTTAAGAAATTAATTTGTAAATAGTCATGCTCCAAAATACCAAATTTGTTTCTTAATATTAATATATTAATAGTATTAATTTATTTAATTAATTATCATTAATACATTAATAATATTAACATCTTAAAAATAATAGTCAATGTTCTTAAAAAAAATTTTTTTTAACTAATTTTTTGACAATATATTTTAAAGATATTTATGTATATGATGGTTGACGTAAGGCTAGATTAGACTCTCTATTAGTGTCGAGAAACATAAGCGAGTCGGTCCACGCAGATTTATAAAAATACGCAAACTGCCTGGCTTTCTTTTATCCTTTATAGTCTAAATCTTCGTGTACAATATAATATGAGCTCTCAACATTTTTAGTAGACTGATCCGTAAACGCATATATTTATACTAAAACGATATTTCATCTTAGTTTCCTTAGAAATTTTGTGCTATGCCTAAATAAATAATCAACTCTATATCTATTCGCACCAATTTCTTGTAAACATGTGGATATAAGTATAGGTATATCCACGTTAACGTGGATGTAGGGCTTATAATATCCACTTACATAATAATGATACTATCCGCACATCACTCTAGGTGTAATCTGTACTGTATAATATCTGTGTATTTACGTGGAATGAGGGCAAATAGACCCAGCGTTCAATTAATTGACGATACAAGAATTTCATGTGAATCAGATTGGTTTTATAAGTATCTAGTATACTAAATGAATAACAAGCACCTTTGTCAATCTTACGAGATTAATAATAATAAAACGAATATGCTTCTTCTCTACCAATAGACAATCATTAACAACGTACCTGGTATAAATAAACAATTATAAAGTACAAAATGTATTTAGCGCTAATTAGTATAAAAAATGCAAAACAAGATCACATGTATTGTACTCATAAAAAAAATCGTTAAATCTACAAATTGACTTCCACTTGAAATTGTAGATTGTAAAAAAATGCACAATTTATCTACTATCTAATAAACAAAACGAATCTCGATAATGTAAAGGCTATTTATGATCCAAAAAATAGCAGAGTTGAGGCTCGGACCAAGCGAGAAAAATTTTTGTAGCTGCGACAAGTTAAGTAACGAAAAGAGCTTCCATTTTATCATGCTATTCTGATAGTACGCTGCAGAGAGCTATTAGCTGAATCACGACAAAACAATGAAGAAAGAAAGTTAGGCCACTTACTGGCCTCAATCTCAAGCTTACTGGCCCTTAAAGAAGAAACGTAGTGGAGGGCCATGCACACATTTTAAGTGATTTAAGCATGAAGTCGTATTCATGATTTCAAGTGTTAGCGTAATTTCACCCCAATCTCCCGTGAGGGAACTTTTCTTTACGTATTCCTTACCGAACCATTACTCTCTGTGTCTCCCCCTCTCCCCCCTCTTTCTATCAATCTGTCTGTCTATCTGTCTATCTTGGCCTTTGAACCCTTAGCTTTCAAATAAAGAATCTAATCTAATTCAAATTTTCTCTGTCGTATACACGTAAGCTGCTCCGTTTTTTCTTCACTCCTGCATAATTAAGAATTGTGACAGGGCTGTTATGGAGCCTTAACAAGACCCCTGTTACAGAAACACGAGGTGTGTTCAAAAAATAAGGAGAATTTTCGTTTTATGATATTTATTTATTCATTAATATCTATTTTGTTCCCTTTAAAATAATCTCGATTAATTTTGAAACTCGATCTTTATAATAGCTTTTAGCTCTTTTAGCGATTCGCTTTTAATGTCATATATGCTTGTAAAAGGACGGCCGTTTAATGTTCTCTTTATTTTTGGAAATAGAAAAAAGTCACATGGAGCAGTATCTGGCGAATATGAAGGCTGAGGCATCGTTACAGTTTTGTTTTTGGCCAAAAATTCACGAACAAGGAATGAAGTGTGAGCAAGTGCATCATAGTGGTGCAAAAGCCATGAATTGTTTTGCCACAAATTCGGGCGTTTTTTTCGGATTGCTTCACGCAAACGGCGTTGAACTTCTAAGGTAGTACTCCTTATTTATTGTTTGACCTTGTGGCAAGAATTCATGATGCACTATGCCACTTTTTTCACCTTTTCATCGGTTGTTGATGTGCTTGGGCGTCCGGGTCGTTCGCCATCTTCAACGTTTTCGTGGCCATCTTGGAAACGCTTATACCACTCGGAAATCCTTATTTTACTCATAGCAGACTTACTATATGCCTTTTTTAACATTTTACAAACTTCACTACACTTTATTTCATTTTTTACGCAAAATATAATACAAATTCTTTGATCCATTTTTTTTCACAAACGAAAACCGCCGAGCTCGAAAAACGCGTCTAACGTTAGTGGCTGACACTTAAAAAGTAAGCAATGAATATTGCTAAAAATTTTATCGTACTTCAGGGGCATGTGTGCCAACATAATAAAAAAATTTTATACACGTGGACTCTCCAAACCTGCGAAATTAAAGAATTCTCGTTACTTTTTGAATACACCTCGTAGTATGACTTAAAATCTGGTGCTATTATGACGTCACGTGACCGTTTCGTGCAGAGATCTTATTGAGGTTTGAACCATTACTTTTAAAATGGTTGCCGTAAAAAATACTAAATAAATCATATTCCAAGGTTGAAAATTAGTTCAGGCCTTATGAGGGACTTACCACATTAACCACAGAACACAAATGTAGTTTTTTCTATCTTCTACTTAGTATTTCCATTTTAATTTAATGGTAACAAGTTCTACGAGGATTCCTTCCTGAATTACTTAATTTTCTTATACATTTATCAACTTCTTATATTTCATGGAATTCTTTTTTTTTTATTTTATGGAACGCTTGTTCCTACCTTACTTATAAAACATTTTTTATCGCTGCTAGTTTTTACTCTAGCTTTCCCTCACTTGTAAGTTCAAAGATATGAGTAGTACTTACAACGCTTATCCTAACTTCGTCTTCTACATGCGCTATTCGCAGTGCCACTTGCACATCTTTACTTATGCTTGTTACACCGATGTTCCTGTCTCGCATCTCAGTTTCTCTCTTTTTCTCTAAGATTTAGACGGCCACTTATGCCTTGCTTCATGCTTCATCTACTCTTGTATTTGTAACTTTTTATAACCAACGATTGATACTAAACCTTTCTGATACACATAGCTAGAATCTTCAACCTCTAAAATATCTTTTTTTTTTCAGTAAGACCCTCTTCGTGCCATCAACGATTACTTTTTCCTCAGTCCTTATCTGCAACCGTAAGAGTAACTCCCTCGTGGATGATCTGACTGTTTTTAAGTACTAATCTAATCTCTCTGCTTCTAATCCACCATTATCTGCTGCTCCACTAGTCAGTCATTTCGTATTTCAACCTTTCCTTTTACTTACAACGTATCATTTTTTCACCTTCTGGAAATGATTTTTTTTCTGTTTAGTTACCTGCCATTAATTTCTTCGCTTTAGCAAACAATTTTTTTTTACAAAAAGTAACACTTTTAAACGAGATAACACTTTAGTTTTTCTCAATTACATATGGTACACGTTTTCCAATGTACAGCATCAAATAAGGAATTCTCTGTGATTACGATGGAATTTGTTGGAATCGCTTCTTATTATGATCACATGACATAGAAAAATAGTTTAGGGGCATTACCGCACGGGCTTTTATTGTTATTGAACAATTAATAAAAGTCGATTGGATTTTTCTTAGAATTTCGCGAATGAATTTTTTTGAGGCGTCGTGTTGCAAAAATAGCTAAAGATTGTTTGTTTTTCATTCGATTACCTATAGACTAATACTAGTCAAGTTATCTTAAACCTATTTTTTGCAAAGTTATATCTGAAACCTATTTTCGCGAAGTTACATCTTTAACCTATTTTTCGCATAGTACAAAAAAGTGGAAAATTTTTTTTTCAATTTAGCTACACAATTAACTTCAACATTTATGTATAAAAATGCATAAAAATTTGACTTCAAAAAAAAATATCCTTTGTTAATTTATGTGCGTGATTAATTCCTTACTCAGATTAGCAATTTTACGGGTGATACCGATCCTCAAATGATATGTTCAATGCATTTAGGCGTCTGCTCGCTAGATAAAAAACTTATGTACTATATAAAAAATTTTGTGAAAAAAATCCATCAACTTATAATAAAACCGTATTATGAATTAATATAATTCTAATAATTTATCACACCGTGTAAAGTGTACATCTTAATCAAAAATAATATTTTACAATTTGATATCTCTCATGACGTTTCTTAGGTATGCTCAACAATTTTTTTCTATGATAGAAAATGACTTCACATAATAACTATTAATTTGAAAATTGATTTAGCTGATACAAACTTCACAGTGAAGCTAGATCAAATTTTTTAAATTCACTTGAAGAAGAATAAGCAAACTGCTATTAAATAATGTAATGGTAAAAATTGTACTAAAATAAAAAAAACAACGATATCTACTCGTAAAGTTAAATTTGAGGACCTTATAAGAAAAACTTGAAGAGTACTAGCATAAGAAAATCGAAATGGTTAATGATGACGTTGTAGAAGATAATTGTAATTATGTTGTATGGGTAGACATTGGTGATGTTACTGATAGTGATAGTGACTACATACCAACACCAAAACTAGTAGCCAAATTTTTGCAAAAAAGTAATTTTTCTACTTTAGGCTTTTTTTTAAATATTTGTACGTTCACTTCGCTCTCAGTAGAAAAAATAGAGTTCACACCTAGTGTGCACTCAACCAGGGCAAGCACCAGGCCTGATAGACGTGCGAAGCAGAGAGACATGCGCCAGCAGGGCTGAAAACTACTATATTGGATTCAAGTGCAACTGCGACATTTCGTATCCGAGCAAAAAGTATAATCATATTCGTATGAATTTAATAAATGGTTTTTGATCAATCAATATTACCACTATTACATCAGTTTTTAGTTATTTTTGTGAATAATCGTTATTTAGACCATAATAATCACATTTGAGATATAATTGTGTATTCTGAAACGTAAAAAAAGATGATTTACAATTTTTTATGACCACACATTCATATAAAACTTAAGTTTTAGCAAAAAAACTGATTTCTGAGATGCTGAAACATTTTCTTTAATTTTAACAGCATGAAACAAGTAAAAAAAAAATGTATACGTGTATTTTTTGTAAGATCTACCACTAAAGTATTAAAAACTTTATAATATATGGTTAAATTTATACTTAAATTGATAAAAACCTATTTTTTTTATTTGAGTACATAAAAAGTTGTATTTTAATGAGATCTACAATTTTTTTTACTATACACACACCTGCAATCAGTACTTGAACGTGTAGTAAACAAAAATACTTTTTTTCATATTTTCTAACGTTTTATTTTATTTTTTAAAATGAAGATGGTTCTAAAAAAAATACGAGAATATTTTAAAAAGGCATTTTTTTAACTCTATAACTTTCTTGTTGACACCGAATTTTTTTATTTTTGAAGATAGGGCCAAAAAATTAATTTTTGAACCAAAAAATGTCATTTTTTTACTATAAAGGCATGAAAATATCTTTTTTTTTACTGTACATAAGTGATTAAAAGTTCTGTTATTATTTTGAGATCTCTATTTTATAGACCTTCTGTTTATACCTGAAATGTCCACTTAAAAAGTCACATGCAAAAAACTTACTTTAATTTCTTACAATCATGCAATATGGCGGGTAGTAACATTTTCCTCTCCAACAACGTATTTGCTTTCAAAATTTCCAACTGTCAGGTTTTAGTATAAAAAACACAGCTACAAACTGAATTTGAGCCCATTTGCTTGTCAACTTTTCGAGATAGTTAACTTACGTGTCTTCACAAACGGGGGTCAAACTTTATGCTCCAGCAAAAGTATAAGTACTTCTGTGAAGTATTATGCCTAAAAACGGAAAATATTGAATATTATTTGTTATTTCGCCGTATATTTTACAGATTATGATTAGATTCATGTACTGTTTAGCCAATCTTGCTTAAAGAATGCATTAACCAATAATAAAACCTTATTATGAAACAATATAAGTTTTTATCGAGTAAGCTAATACTACTTTAAATTTTTAACCATTTGACTGAAAAAGTATTACTTAACAGAAACGTACATGTAAAATTTAGAAGAAGTACTGTAATTGTTATCAATTGATCAGTTTATTAAGTTAAAAATATCAGAACGTTATTCATTTAATAGTTAACTGAATCAGTATAGTCAGTAATTAAAGTCAATTCATTTGTAAAAGGTTTAGGGTTTTTGTTTTGCATTGTCCCTTTTTTCCTTCCAACTACATCCATGATCTTAACATAGCTACAATCAGTCTTAATTAAGTATGAGTCTAACATATTTGTAATTTTTTTAATATTAGCTTTAGCAAAAGCATCCCAAGAAGAGGCAAAAGTATGTATCATCCGTAAAAAATGCCTTAGCAAGCCAGGACAGCTGACAAGTATAGATAAATTTCCTAAAGGGACAATTGCTTCGAGTCAAAATGAAGAATCTAACAATTGTAAGCGAATAACGCGGGAAAGGCAAGTAGCAAAAAAGGAGCTTACTCAGATGAGTATTGATCAACCCCATGACGAAAATACAGGTGAGAGTGAATATTTTCCATTGTTTGTTAGTACTTACATACATAATTGTGTCATTTTTTCAGGTCAACTAGACAAAAAAATCACCAAAGAAAATAAACTGTACACAACGATACTTGACAAGCGACAGCGTCAATCTTCACGCATGCGTCAGCAGCAACAGCCGCGGGTCGTACAGCTAATATCCAGACGAGTACTTAAGGAAACAAAATCAGACAAAAAAATAAGTAGTGTCTCGACGCATAATAATGGTGCTATAACTCTGGAAACGAACGGTGTTGGCGTGCAAACAATTATATCGCTGCCTGTAATAAATCCAATAAAGAGTGGTGACACCAAGAACGAAAAGGTAAAGTTTATAATTATTATTGGTGTTAAAAAAGCTCTGAGACACGTATTGAAACAATAGAACAAAAATAAGTTTGAATTAACCAAGTAGTTCTGTTTAGTCCTGTAGCTCGGCATTTTTGGAACAATTTCTATTATTAGGAATTTTCTAAGATATTACTCTTATGTCACTGATTGGTGCAAAAAAATCTTTGTACAAAGAGAAATCTGAAGTGAATTATATACCTCTTGTGGTAGATATCTCCTTACTTCGGAAAATCAGCTCTCTTGAACGCTCGAGTGTCTGCTTCCAAATGCTTAAGTGGTGTCTGCTAAACGTTAGAAAACTGATCTTACAATTTTGTATTGTAAATATGGTATACCTGATTACCTGCATCACTGTAAGTAAACTTAAATATTCTGAGGTTATGTCCTGATTTTGTTTTTTAATACCTATAAAAATAATATTTTTTATGAAGAACCAACATTATCATTGCAAAAATATAAATAGTATTCCATTTATTAATGGCAGCTGTTCAACATTAAGTCATTTAATGGGTGAATAATATGGTCTAAATAATCTAACTGTATACAATAGGTACCACTTTGCTTATTATTTTACGTGACTATTTATACGTGCACTCATTGAAGAAGTATGTGTGTGATAACTCCATGTAATTTACGAAAACAAATCTACAATTTACAATCTACAATGGTCTTAACGCCAACGTCATCAGGCTCACTTTATTAACAAAAACAAAAACAAAAAACATAATTTTCGTAAATTACATTGTAGGGCCGCTACTTACAAATATAAACATCAATTTAATAAATAATTATATGTTAGTAGTCTAAAATAAATTGTAATAAAAATGATTTTTGATAATTAAACAATTACTCAATCATAATTTCGTTCCTTCTATATGTAAAATATGTGTCAATGATACTCTCATATGTGTACACAAAGATCAGGCACAACTATTTTTACGGATTTTCAATAAACAATTACTTAAAATTCACTTGCGAAATAGAGAAAAACAATTCGTAGTCATTTTAAAGTTTTTATGTGTAATTGTAATGTCTAAGAAATTTATAGAATTGTGGTCATTTTAAAGTTTTTTTGTGTAATTGTAATGTCTAAGAAATTTATAGAATTGTTTTTCTCTATTTATGGCATAGTTAGTCAGATGTTTTAAAGCTACAAAATAACAAATGGGGTTATACACGGATTATGTTGTACGTATATAAGATTTTTTCGACACTTCTCGATAGTTTCACGCAAAGAAGTGGATGGAGTGTATCTTATGAGACTAGCTATCAGTCATGGGGTGATGCGGTCTCCGTACAATTTTTCCACTTTACATGTGGCAATGGGCCAAAACAACAACTATCAGTCAAAGAAAGTCCATGGACTTTGCTAGTTCGAAGGTGATTGTTTCATTAGAAAATTACAGCAATATAGTCACTTTACTAGAATCTACCATAGAATGTACTCTGATTAACATTTCGCAGTATACAATGCGATCACGTTACATTCTTAACAACAGATATTTAACAAGGGCATTAATATGTTGTACTTATAAGGCATACAAAAGTCTACGTAGCAAGAAATTTTGTGAACTTAGTACAATTTATCTAATTAAATTGTGGTTTTGCTCTATCGTTGAAGGTAGCATTGAATCAAACGCATAATATGTTTTAGGCGCACTTAATAGTTATGAGACTAAAATTTTTAAAATGCTCACAGTTGGGACACAGTTGATTGGTCTAATATTGCTGATACTGATTTTGACTCTGAAACTTATGATAACATCGTTGCTAACGATGACCATGTGTAGGCTAAGAAAAAAAAGAAAGCATAAAAAACGTTAAATGATTAATGCCATTACACTCAGCTCCCGCCGTCAAAAATAATTAACCCAGTCTCATTTTTCCTATCTTAAAAAAACGATGGGTCACGTGATGAAGCCTGTTTATTCGTCGTGTGATTGGCTGAGACTGATCAAGCGTGGGTAGATTTGAAAATGAGATTTTGAAAAATTAGTGAAAAGTTATTGAAATTTGTAAGTTGATAAATATTACAATATTACGTGTTACGACAAAGATATAATTATTGTATGTATGTGGGAATTATTGTATTTTTTGGACATGATAATATTTATAGTTTTTTTCTCAGTTTTGAGATAGGGTAACAATATGTTGTGAGGTAGGAGATTTATTAAACAAACAAATTGAAAATGCAAGAAAATAAATAATAATAATCTTAACATAGCTACAAT